GCAGTGAGCCAGTGCCACAGAAACCGTTTAAGCCACAAGGATAAGGGCACCATGATTGGAGGGATCATCTGATTGGGTTCACGGAGCCAAACTAAACATACACTAAAAAATATACAAAAACTACAATTAAAAATTAAATTTTTTTTTCCTAAAACATTTTTTGTAAATTTATTTACTAGCGTTAAAGAATAATAATTAAGTACATTAAATAAAGAAATGCATTAAAGTGATCATCATATAATTTTAAAACTACATATATCATATTATTCTCGAAATCTAATCTTTGATGTACACATTTGTGGTACTTTGAAAATATTTGGGTTGTTAAAAAATTCTATTCTAACCTAATTTAACCCTATTTTGCATGCACCTCCAATTAAAGGAGAGATTTCTGTAGACCACGGAAAGTTTAAAAAAGTTAGTAAATTTAATTTATGACTTATAAATCAATGTATGCCGGTTGATATAGTTTCCTCTGTCCTCCTTTTAAGAAAACCCCGTTTGACTTTCTTCATAAATGTTCAAATATTCGTGGCGAGTGCTAGACCCTTTTCGTATAATTATAATCTGACTCTAAGATTTGGCTAATTCTACGAGCTTAAATACGAAAACAATTACATCACTCAAACTCAAATGGAAGATGGGGAATGGGGCTGAGAAGAAACACCAATAATCGCGCAACGCACTTAGCCAAATTTCAAGCAATTAAATCTTTAATTCGCGCTTAAAAGCTGTTTTACCCCACAGGTTCCCCCAGCCATTTCCCCTATTTTCTGCGGGGGGTTGCTAACTAATTATAAAACGGATGCGCCGCATTTTGCACCCCGAATCCACCCGACCCCTCCTTTTTGGGAGCGCTTTGTTTAAGGCCGCAAGTCCCAACCAGAAAAGGGACAGATAAATGCGACGGTCTGCTCCTAAAATAACAGTATTTTGCATAATTGTTGACCCAGAAAGTCCGAAAAGAAAGCAGCAACAAAACAGGGGAACGATGCTGCAAAGAATGTAATTTCTTTTTCTTATTTTCCCGCAGCATTTTCCCTTGGCGTCGCTGTGGGAACCGCCAGTGATTTGTAATTAGGAAACGGCCGCCAACTGTCGCCTTGGTTTTGGCCTGGCTCGGACGATGCCACGCCCCATTTGCACCGCAACGGAGGCGGTGGCAGTGGCAGCGGCAGCGGCTGGAGGCATTAGCGAACGTTAAATACCCAAGTGCCATCTGCTAAGGGGAAAGCGGCTACACAAAAAAAAGGTGACCGGGAAAATTAAATGAATGAAAAGTGCTAGAAGAAAAGTGTAAAGCAATGACGGCGACGCCTGGTGCCCCCCCAAATCCCTTCCCGCACGCTCTTTTGGCCATTTTCGCAGTTTGCGGCTTGGCGGGAAATAAGGAAGAAAAGCGAAGAGGGGGTGGTGGAAAACTGTGGCAAAGATTCCACCCATTTGTGTGCGTAGTTGGCGAAAGTTTATTAAACATTTAAATTCACTCATTTCGCTTTGGGACTGCTCTTTTCTTTTTTAGCTGGGGAAATGACCAAAAATTGAAATTATTTCATGTCCGGTGTCACCATTTTGGGCTTCCGTTTTGGGTTCGAGTCGGGATGCTTGGCCAGCGCCCTTTTGCTTAAAAATAAATCCATTGATGCAGAACTTTTGAAACTTCATTTTCAACGGAAATTTATAATTTTTGGGCCAACGGCCTTGGCCGGTCCTTGTTTACTCATGTCCTGTATGCTTCCGTTTTTCCACTTTTCCAATTCTCCGCCTTTTGGGCCACCGGAAAAGACCTTTTCTTTCGCATAATTTCGGGAAATATGTTTGCAGCAGTTGCTAATATTTCGGGAAAACTTTTGGGAAATGATTTATGTTAAGGAATCCCTTATAAAATGGTGAAGTGGATAGCATTCCTCAGAGCTATCGTACATTAAGATATATGTGAAATGATTTAATTACTTTTTCTTGGTTTTTAACAGCCTATTAAAAAAAAAAAAAGCAAACATTTCCCTTGTTTACCAATTTGGTTGCCTTATTTATGTTTTTAACTTTCAAACATTAAAACAAAATCATTCAAAGCACTTAAACTATTTTCCAGTTCTTTAAGTTTAAATTTTGTTTAATAAATGTAGTATTGAACAGATTGATAAAATGTTATTTTATGGTTACCCCATCATCACTAGCATTCATTGAAAAGCTTCTTAAATATAATATTGAACATTTATATTCATGCAAATTTGTTATTGCTGGTTTATTGTTTACTTAACACAAAGAAATGATAAAAACTATTTTTGATGGCCCCACACTTAAGGTTTTACTTAATAGGAACCATATACTCTATTGCCAATCAGTTTTAATTATTCTCTCCTTTTTTAAACAAAGCAACGTATTGTATAGCACAACTGTTTTATAGACAAAAGATTTTAGTTCCTTATTCCATGTTCTTAGAAACTAATCGATCTTAAGCCTGGACCACCTAAAGGGAACTAAAAGCACCTTTACAAATTTTGGCAAATGACCAACATCGCAACGGAGGGCGAGGGAAACTCTCGATGAGAATGCATCCTTGTCGGTAATAAAATCGCTTTTAAACATAATCCTTTGCCAGCGCAAATCCCATTCAAAACGCCAGGCTTGGCTTTGATTCCAAAAGTCCCGAAAACTTTTCCGCCCTCAAATTGAAAGGAGTTTTTGTTGGGCGCATGTGGGTATGGTGTGCTTGTGGCTAGGCTCTTTGGCATTAGGCACCAACCTTTGCTCCTTGAGCCACCTTTCAATGCTTCACCTTGCGAGGAGAGCACCCACAATGGGTACACAAGTCGCATTCAGCTGCACACTTATTAGAGGAAAGCAGGTGAAACTCATCCTTGAGGCGGTGACGTTGCACTCGGAAGTCAGTCTGCACTCGCAGCCCAGAAAATGGCAATAATGAAATCAAAATGTGAATGCCCTTTGCATTTCCTACTTACAGTTTGACCCTGTTACGAGCTAAAGCAAAGCTGAAGCTTCAGCCTCGGCTGAAACTAAATCTGAGCCTGGTCAGCCTGCAGGCATTTCCTTTGCCCGCCACGCCCACCTCCAACCTCCCACGCCCCCCGTTGAATAAGCACTCATTAGTTCTGTTTCGAAGAGTTATGCGGCTTCGCTGCTTTGGCTGCTGCATAAAATTTGCATTTGAATGCTGCGTTCGAAAGTTGAGACAAATCCTTGGCGGGCATTCCCTTTAAGCTGTGGCTGCTTTTGTGAGGATTCGTTTTGGCCAGTAGGTCAAAGTGCATTTTCAAAAGCTTATTCAAATTTTCAGATTAGGGGATCTATGTGCCCTTACTTGAATTGTTTCCATAGCATTTTGACTAAATTGATCTTTACTTATTGATTGCAGGTGTATGGGTAATCGGTATTGCTTACATTTTCTTAAAATATATAAACTATTGTATATTGCCATCTGACTCTAACAGTTAAAATAATGTACGCGAAAGAACATTTTTTTTAAAACATTGGGATGGTTGTGCTAAGAAAATTGGGTTTTAGTCTAGTTCACCTCTTAGTGCCACATACGTTATTTTTGTTATTATTTCAGAAATTTGAAACATTTTAGTATTGTAAAAAAAGAATGTAAAATGTATTTCATAAGTTTTTTTATATTTCGCATGTTTTTTTTTAAAGAACAGTTTTACTTAACCTTTTTTTTGTCGTATGCTTCTTTTTTTCTATTAAGAAAACAAATTGTGTATCTCTATAAAAAATATAATATTATTTGTGAGGTTAAGGCTCGATATATTTAATGTAGAAACATTACCTATAAAGTTTGTCAAATGTTTGAATTGCTTTTTTACTTTCATCGTTTGCGGGTCATTTCAATTTAATTAATGCCCTTAGCATCCCAGCCTGGGATATTAGCAGAGATTTCTGTTATTTAGACTTACTTGGTGACCCAAATTTGGTTGTCAGACACAATGCGGCCGGCAACAATAACAATTGTTGGGCATCGACTGCCCTAATGGATATTCGCAAATCAAGTCCACAATCCTTTCAATCACGTTTGTCCTTGATGTTTAGTCTAGAATTGGACAAACACGTTGACCTTGACCCGATAGCCCATGTCAAACTCTTTTGCGTTGAGCTGGATTAATTTGATACTTCTGCAGTCGCATTCAACCTTCGTGACTACGGGCAAATTAATTTTATTTAAATTTTAAAATAAAATATGGGTGGCATTTAACTTTTCAGTCCCGTTTTATTATCGCAATGGTATTAAATAGTAAGTTTTAGCTGGAAACGGTTGAAAATTTTTAGTCAAAAACCTATTTTCAGCTTAAAACTAGAAACGAGACAACATTTTTCGATCGTTCCAATGGCAGCTACATGATTTTATAAAAGTAAAACCGTTGTTCTGAAATTGGTGAAAATAAGTATAACAGGGAAATAATATAATTTTATATTCTGATTGTTTCAATGGCAGCCATATGATATGGTAGGCAGATCCGGCAAGAGAAAGAAGACTATATACACCACATATGATCGAAAATATGTATGTTCTTCCCTGCGTTTCAAACTTTTGATACAAATCACAAAACTGATTTGGTTATTCGATAATTTTTTCCACATCCTGAACTTTTTAAATTCAACCACTTCTGCATTTGTAAGAGATTACCATGCCTATCTAAAATTTGGATGCCTGGAAATGGGTATTACCAAAAAAACAAAACAAGTTAACTTGTCCCACTAAAAATACTCGTATTGGCTAGATATGCAGTTCACAAATTTAGCCGGGAATTTAAGCTCATTTCCGCATTATCTAATCTTTTAAGCTACATTTTCAGGTATGTACTTTGTTTCAAAAGAATTCAATCAATATCTAAAAGCGATTGATTAGAAAAGTCAGGAAATTGCCATTCACACAAAATCATTTAGAATAATCGATAGTTTAGCTTATTGCATTCTCCATCCCTGGAAACTCCGCGCTTTGGAATTTAATTTAAGCAAACCACTAATAAGTAAGTTTTAAAATCTACGATGGCACAAAAAGTGGTATACGACAAGGATTTCATACACATTACGGCGGATCAAGACGAATTCATCGAACTTAATCAGAATTTAATGGAGCTCAAGGATGAGGAGAGCTCATCTGAGGATGAGAAGAGCAACGACGCTTTGGTAATCGAAGAGGATGAGCCTTCAGTTCAGGATTCCAATGGGACCCAAGGAGACTTCGCCGTTTTGATGGCGGCCATTGAGACTTGCACAGCACAAGAAGGAGATCCATCCGGTGACTCTTGTTCCCCACAAATCGAATCTGCAGTTCACAATCGGGAAGATGTCCCAGTTGCACAGGCAAATGGATTGTTTGCACAACACGTTGACAATTTGGAGCTAAGCGCTCACGTCCAAACCATCCTCAGTCCTGAATCTGTTGAATATAATGAAGAAGTGTCTCAAGTTTCTCGGCTAATCCACTTCCCCAGACAGGACATTGTCTTCCAGGCCTACTCGCCACCTTCGGTACCCGGCGTGCGGACGAGCCATGGCGATCGTTGCAACCACACCCTGCCGGATTTATTCTGGTTGGATATGACCGAGGTGGCCTGCACCCTGCTGAATTCGGCGGCTGCGCAACTGGAACCCCCTGTCCACGTAGACGAGGAAACGGTGCGATGCATTGCCCAGGGTCTGTACACGGCCATGGACTTTACGACCGAGATGGAATCTCCCCTGATCGGACGCAGGGGCATCGGCCGCCTGGTGGCTGCCATAATCCTGGACAGGCAGACGGGGATCCTTTTGGCGTACGCTGTGGCCCAATTGGTGCCCCAGGCTCTGATCGACGGCAGCACTGGGAATGTGGTGGGCATGATGCTCCATCAGGTAACTCGCGGATTCGGCATCAACGACAACTGCCGCAGAATCATCACCGAAAATACTGGATCAGTACTCTTGGTGGTCAACCAAATTCCAAATTAAAATTTTAAGCATCCTCTTTAAGGAATTTTTAACATGAAAACAAATACGGCTTACATTAGATAAGCTCATTGCCAAAAGTGTTACTTCGATTAATATACATTTCTTTTAACTAAAAGCTATTCAGTTTTAAAATTATTGAACTTTTAAGTTTTAAAATGATTTAATTTTAGAGCATTCTGCATTCAGAACAATATGTCCATAACAGACCCTAATATATTTATTGACTTTAATTTTATTTTGTGCCGTATTCTTTTTTATAACTTAATTTTTTCATTTTTACTTTAAGAAGTGGTTGTATCAGAAAAGTATATTGCTGAATGTCTTAATTTTGTATAGTTTTAAGAATATTTCTGAATAGCTAATTAATATACTTTACCTACACGATAAAAAATAACTTTTCTAATTTTATACTTACCATAAAACCCCGAAAGTGGTTTACCATATATGTATGTTGATTCGTTGAAAAGATCTCGTTAAGTTATTCAATTTTATTATTTTATTGTATGTAATGCAATAAATTTGTCAGTTAAAGTTTCACATAGTTCTTAGTTTCGTTTACATATGTATGTGTAAGTATTTTTTTCGTTATTAGTCGGTACTTAACAATAAACTTTGCTATATCATGAGTACACGTGAGTTCGAGTGTCTGTCTTTAAAAAGTAATGTCCTCACCTCGCTTCGATTCGGGACGTTTGCGTGTAATGCGATTTATTTACAAATAGTCGGGGTGTTGATAATTACACGTATGGCGTCTATACGTTAATCGAGTTGATGAAAAACACTTAAGAGCTTAGAAATGTATTTTGATTTCGATTTGTATAGTACTTGCTATGGTCATATACGCCGCTTAATTCTAACAAAGTTTCATTGTTCAACATTCAGTTTTATGGGCTGTCCAATGGGTTGTTGGTGGCTTTTTGGCGGGAAAATAAAAGGCTGAAAGTTAAGTAGCGGGGGTTGAGTGGGAGGCTGCCTCAAAGGCGGTTAGCCGCAGACCGCGAGCATTTGATGCATGCAATCGGGAATGTGTTAATTGTCCACACCCGTGAAAGGAATCCCTGTTAAATGAACCCTCTTCCGCCCTCCCCCGCTGCAATATATTGACCGCAGAAATTTATTTCCGTGGCTTTTTTTCTCGCCCATCAGCGGAGTGTGTTTGCTCACAGCTGCTTGCGGTTAACTTGGCCCGGGATCAATTTGTTAAACGCTCAAAGGCAGGCGCATCAAGTATACGCAGGGTGTGACAACCGGCGCCTTGGGACAGTCGCACACATAATTAATGCCGCTTTGAGGGCATTGTTTGAGTGGGAGAATGCGTGTGTGTGTGGCATGCACCTAATTGCAATTAAGTTGACGCTGCAGCCTCGATTTTTACGTAAGGACAGAGACAACTTTAATTAATTTCAGACGATTTTTATGGGATTTGCCGTGGATTGGGCAAGTGTGTGTAATTAAAAAGGACGTTAAGTGGATAAATAAATACGAGCCGGGCCTGCGGGTTCGCGCTGCACACGCTGTTTACATTTTGTCCGTTTGATTTCGCTTTTTATTTCTTTGGCCGCCTTCCGCCTTTGTCTCCTGCCTGCTATTTATTTGTTTATTTTATATATTTATTTGTATCGTTTAAATGCAATTCATTAGTGTTTGGAATACGTCTCTGGTTGGATTCTGCCATTTATATTATTTGTATATTCAATTAATTTACATTTTTGTTGAACGATTTCGCAATAGAGTTATATACAGTTCGCGAGTCAGTCCGCTCAATTCAATAAATTTACGTTCGTTATCAATTAAATTGTTTTTGTTTGCTTTTCTGTTGTGTTCTGCTGGATGTCCATTCCGATCAATGCATGTATTTGCTATAATTTTTTGTTCCTTACGCAATTATTTACTTTATGAATTTTGTTTTTCCCGCATGTTTCGAGCTTGTTCGTGAGATAAGAGCACATAAAATAGAGTTCCATAAATTGGCTATGCAAATGTTTACGATGTCGCACACATATCGGACAGTTCATATTTGTGGGTGTTCTGTTTGCCAAAGATAATGTTAAGTAAACTCCTTGGAAATCATAGAAAACTTCTCTGATCCTTGGGACGGCCAATTCGAGGGTATACAATTTTAGGTGAATTTATTGGCAATGAAAGTTAGATATTTTTCGAAACGAGGTCACCGGCCAGAGTGCAGTATTTGCTAAAAATAATAAATATTCAAACTGACCGGCATCCGGGAGTGAGAGAGAGGAGAAACTGTGCGAAAAGTGCGGCAGATATGGCTAATTGAAAAGTTCAGCATGTCGCCACATAGGAAGGAGACTGCCAATGTTGTCCCAGACTCAAATTGCCATGCAAATGCATTCGAGTTGAATTTTTCCAAAAACGCATTCGTTTGATGGCAGAAATTTCCCAGAACCCCCTTTCCCCTTCCTTCCCGGTTCGTCCATTCGGTCCGAATGGATTCAGGATATCGATGCAATTTCATAGCGGACTGCATAAATATTTACGGTTATGCATTTATGCAAACTTACTCGGTATTTTCCACAAAACAGAGGCCCCCGAATCCGAACCGAAAACCTAAACAAAAACTACATAACAAAAATCAGTTAGGAGTCTGCCTAAGACTAGGGGCTTACTAACTATTTCGCTTATAGCCGGTAGAACTTACGATTAGCTGGGGCTCGGGGTTCTCGAAACTGCCTGCGGTAATCCGGGGATTACTGACTCATCCTCTATATGTATTGGTTATTAGTTAGTGGATAAAATCAACTAGCTTACAACATGCACTCGATTATTACGTTTAATCTCTCTTTTCTCGTCGTTTTTACTATTTCGGTCTATCAAATTAATTTGGTTTTATACTTTTTACGTTGGCAGAGTGTTGGGATTCCCATATTCTCAGTTTGTAGTAGCTGCTGTGTTTCCTGTCCTTCAGTTTGGCTGGGAGGCAGTGACATGTCATGTGCGGTGGCCCACTCCGATGATAATCACGCTGAGTAGGAGTGCCAGGATGCTGAGGGCGTAGGCCCGGGTGGTGGCTGCCGACGAGGTGACCGCCGAGGCCGACGATTCGCCTAGGAAAATTCAGAGGAAAAATTCAAACATTACGGCAATTTGTCAACTCTGCACAGTAAAAAATTATATGACAAATTTTAGATGCTCTATGAATTAGACTTCATTATTAATTGTAATAATGTCTTTTTTAATTAGTGAATGTATAGAATTAAAAATCAAGCTTTATTTGAATGGGGTCAAACTTTAAGGTATTCTGCAAATTCGTTCTTTAATTTAATCCGGTGTTCTTTTAAGAGAGAATAGCAAGCTACAAGCTTGGAATAAGTTTTATGAACATTCAAAGCTAAAAAACTGTTTTTATGGGCAAAATAAATGTAATGCATTATGTATATATTTTTAATAAAACACTTTGATGGCAAGATTTAATTTTTATAGTTAATTATTATTTATTTATAAGTTAGTCAGCTATATTTTCAGCATATTTATAAAAACCATTTTCCTTGTAAATTATTTATTAATTTAATTTAAATTCAAAAATGTCGTCTCAGACTTGATGTTTAGTTAGAATGTGAGGGTAACACTTCTGTTCGACTTAAATTCCTATAATATTGGTATTATTTTTTTTCGAGAAAACTTCCGCCCTGAAACTTACCATTTATTATGTTCAGCGTTACGGTCGCACTGGGGCTATTCGACGGGTTACATGTGTAATTGCCAGTATCGCGCTTCTTGGCCGACTCGATGATTAATGAGCCAATCTGCAGAAGGAGAACAACACAGGCATATATATTTACAGATTCAAGAGCCCAAGAAAAAGTTTGGAAAAGAAAATGATAAAGATAAACACAGGCAGTTTTCATTCGGACATGGGGACACGTATTCCAAATATTGGGCATGTGCCGGAACTGACTTTTTGCGCCGTGGCCGGGCACAAAGTTATGGCCAGGCAATTAGGCGAAATGCGACAAAACTGAAACTTTTGCGCAACAACATTATAATATTTTTGCTTGGCAGCAGCAGCCAAGAATCCATTGGAAATTGAGAGTAATTAAATTAAAATCAACAAGGGAGTCTTTGGGCCTTGGCCAAGTGCAAGATGCTTTGAATTACATAGAAAGAAAATATTCTGAATATCTTGAAAACATTATGACTATTCAAATATATTGAAACAATTAATAATACATTTGGAGTTTGGGTAAAAAAATTAATAAAACATTTAAAATAAAATACACAAAAATGATTGAAGCCTTACAAGATAAAAAAGTTTACGTTCCTTTTCGTGCTTTTACAAAAATTAGTAATATTATGAACTCTTCAAATGTTAACCAAATTAAAATTGATTAGATAACTGCAAAATATTTTCTATGAATTGTTTTGCTATTCGTCTATAGCATTTTAAAATTTGCATATTTTCATTTGAAAACCTTTTAAAACTTAAAATATATTTACAAATAATTGTTAAACATAGAACAGAACTTAATTTAGTTTTTTCGCTTGGAAAATTAAAAGATTAGACACTAATTACTTAACTGTTGTTCAACTTAGTGAAAACAAAACCATCCTAATTATATAAAATCAAAATTAGTTAACATATATCGTTTTTGTTCAAGAATACAATAATTAATTAAAACTTTTAAAATCTACTTTTGTAAAATATAAACTTTTTTCATCATTAGCTGGGGATTTCCCGCTGTGCACTTACCGTGCTCTGGCCTTCGCCAGAGGCCTCCGGCAGGTTGGGATCCAGTTGCGTGCGGTGGCGGCGGGAGTCGGCCGCCAGTTGCTCGGCGCCGTGGTACCACATGATGAACGTGGGCGGCTCCAAGGCGCCGCGCACGATGCAGCGGAGCACCACGTTGCTGCCCGCCTTCACGTAGCGGTCCGGTTCTCCCAGGATCTCCGTGCGGGGAACTGCAGGAAGCGGAAGAGAAGGAGGGGGAGATGGGGCATAAGTGGAAGTGGCAAATTCGACGCTCGAAAATTGTGTCATTTCGCTAATCTATTGAATTAACAGCTGCGAGTCACGTCGCACACGTAAATCTGG